GTATAGGAGCAGAGAGAGTGCACATACTCGCTTTATTCCTTAGGGGAAAATTCACTCCCTCTTTCACCATTAAGTATAATGCAGGTGTGGAGGGGTTTGTGGATGCTTTTTTACCAAACTGATTTTTAAATTGTGGTACAACAAATTGACTTATTGATGACAAAGGGTCCTGATGGCCTTATGAAATGGTCAGGTCATCTGTGTGGCTCAAAAAGTCCACTGTTCTGTCTCAAAATGGTTCTCCCAATCTGAGTGAAATTCTCTAGCTAGACATTCACTGTACTTGAGTGGAAAAGCATCTTTGTAATGCAGATCTTGGAAGGGGAAACAGTTTATGTTGTTGGTACTGTTTCTTTTCTCCTTAACCATGCATAATAAGCATTTGGACATGTGGGGCAAAAAAAGGAGAAACAATTTTTGGAGCAGAGAATGCCTCAATTGGGCAGCAGGGGGTTACTGAGTGCCTTTTCTTATTGAAGCACAGACAGGAGTTTTGAAAAGGATTCAAAGCATAATTTAACCTTTGAATCCCTTTTTTTTTTAATTAAATAACTATAATTTAAGAAGTAAAAATGCATTTGAGAAGTTTATTTTAAAATTTATTTTTTCAATGGCTCTGATTTGCCTAATATACTGCATTTGCTAGTGTTCTTCCAAAGTACATCTTTTAGAAAGCAAAGATATCCTGCTAATAACAGCCATTTTGTCAAGAATGACAGCATGTCATTATTTTACTCACAAAACAAGATGATATAACACCAAGTTATAACGATGAAGCACAAATTATATTTCACAAAAAAGTACAACTTTTAATTCATTTGAGAACATAATTATAGTATATCATATCTTCTTAGGTTTCACAGAAATGCCCTAAGTAATTAGACTGTATAGACACTAAGAATTTGAAAGTGTTATTACTTTTTTATAAAACTGTTGCAGTTTTATATACAGAAAATTATTTACAGTTTAATAGCATTGAAGACTTTTGTTTAATATACTTACTTAACATAGATCACTCAGTGATTCAGATTATACTAGATGAAGTCTTGAGGCTACTCTTATGGGCCTAGTATTTTATAATTTGATTGTCTTGTTTCCTAGATCATAATGATATCGCCTTTTGGCTTTCTTTGCTGAACTTCCAGAAGACCTGTTCTATAAAATGTTTTACTTCACTTATTTTAGCTTCCAACCATAATTGCTAGGGTGGAATAACATTCTATCGATAATAGCTTTCACAACTGTGAAGTTAATGCTATTTCTGTTTTGTACATCAGGCTGCAAAGAAGCTCCTTCAGCAAGAGTTTTCTTTAGACTAAGGATAGGGTGCTTTGCTAGGAGTAAGGCAAGAACTGTGATTAATAGGCAAAAGGTTAAGGATAAAAGTGCCTTGGAGTTAGCAATATAATTTTCAAATTGATGAGAAGGAACCAAAACTCACAATGGACAAAGGGATTGCAAAAAAAAAAAAAAAAAAAAAAAAGAAAAGAAAGAAAAATCCATCTGCTTTGAATTAGTTTAGGTCTCTTGATGTAGATGAGTTATATTCCTGGGGACTGACAGTATCTTTGAATGGGATTGCAGAGCCACTCTAGGTGATATTTGAGGACACACAGGGAATAAGAGGATAAACATACAAATGCTATTCAATGTATAAAACAACCATAAACTACAACCGGTGAACTCAACTTCAATTTCAGGCAGGATTCCAAAATATACTATCAAAGGATGATTTATGAGAATATATTAGAGAAAGAATAAAATTGCGCCAGTTTTATGTTCATTAAGAGAACCAAAAGGTAGACCTTGCTCTATTCAATTTTCTGTAGAGTTATGAGATCCAGGAACAGTAGTAGACATCAAATATATGGACATTTTGAAGGCATTTGACAAATTTGTCAATGTTCCTGGAGATTATACATATAGTCTGGTTACAAAGATAATTGGGTAGATGAATAACAAGTTGAAGAGTCATACCTGAAATATGCTGAGTAATGGGTCAGCATCAACTTTGGAGATTGATATGATGTGAACTTCTATCCTCAACTTTGTCATAGTCAACATTTTTTATCCATGAATTCTAGAGTTACTAGATCCAGTAACTGGAGTAGACACAGGATATATGGTCTTTATGAAGACATATGACAAATTTTGTCATAATATTCCTGAAGACATTATGAATAAATGTAGGCTGGTTGCAAAGATAATTGGGTAGTTAGCCCTAAAGGTTTCTAAAATGTCTGTGTCTTCAATACTTACAGGCCTAATTGGATCATTCCCAGCTTAAGGCTTAGTTCTTCTGGGTGTGATGTCCAGTCCTCTTCCACCTGCCAGCCATGGGTAGGGTGGGTGAGCGAAGGGCATTTTGGTCACATTACCACATAGAAAGCCAAGACTGTGGAAGGTAGATCTGTAAGAAAGGTGGAAAGCAGTGGATTGTTATATTCAGTACAATGAGACATGGTTTTGCAGTGCAGTATTTTTAAATAAGGACTTTATTTAACATAAAAGACAGTTATAGTATATAATAGCAACAAAATTGCTAAAAGTATAAGAGATCACTGTAATCTAGGGTTGCATTAGAAGATATTATTAATGATACTACTAATGAGATATTGGAAAGAGGGAAGTTTTGAGTACTCTCTTATTCTGCTTCAGTGAAACCAACCACTCTGAAGTATTCAATTCTGGGTACCATACTTAAAACAGATGTAGAATCCAGGAACAATTTCAGAGAAAATTAGAATGAGAAAGAAATTAAAAACCATGTCGTAATGGAAACAGCTGTAGGAATTAGAAGTTGACCTGGGAAAAGAAGATAAAGAGTGTTCCTGATAGCTGTCTTCAAATATAAGAAAGAGGTGTGTGGTTGTTCCAGGTGGTTACTAGATTTTGGGCCAGTAGACACTCTAGGCAGGCAGATTTGGGGTCAGCATGAGAAAGTTTCCTGACAGTCAGATGATGCAACAAGCTGCTTTACAAAGCAGTTTTCTGTTATTTGAGGTGTTGAAAACTTATCTAGGTTGGAATAGACTCAGTAAACGCATCCAGGGCTTGAACCAGGTTATCGTCATGATTTTTTTTCAAACCTATTATTTTCTAAATCTACACTTTGGTATTAGTGGCAGTTAGATGATTGATGAAGTCATTCATTGATTTTCTACAGTATTATATTTTGGGATGGCATTGATTAATAAGCTTATATAGGTTTCAAGTGTATAATTCTATGATGTATTGTCTGTATATTACACTGCGTGCCCACCACTAAAAGTCAAATAATCTTTCATCACCATATATTTTACCCCCTTGAACCTTAATTAGTCCCCCAACCCCCTTCCTTCTGGTAACCACCATACTGTTATCTGTGTCTATGAGTTTTTGTTTGTTTTTCTTCTTTGTTCACTTCTTGCTTTCAGATTTATATCCCACACATGAGTGAAATCATATGGTTCTTAACTTTTTCTGACTTATTTCACTTAGCATGATATTCTCAAGATCCATCCATGTTGTTGAAAATGGCAGTATTTCATCTTTTCTTATGGCTGAGTAGCATTCCATTGTATATCGGAGGAAACTTCAGTTGTTTTTCATGTCTTGGCTACTGTGAATAATGCTGCAATACACATAGGGGCTCATCTATATTTGTGAATAAGTGTTTTCAATTTTGGGTGGTAGATAACTATATTCTTTATTTTTTGAGGAGCCTCCATATTGTTTCTTATAGTGCCTGTACCAATTTATATTCCCACCAGCAGTGAATGAGAGTTCTTTTTACTACACAACCTCTCCAACACTTGTTATTACTTGTTGATAATAACTATTCTAACATTTGAAATTTTTATTATTGAAGTTTAAATGTACAAAATTTTACTGTATAAAAATTTATCATTAGTTTGTTTTAACCTAGTCTTGTGTAATAGCATTGATAAGCACATAAGGTGGCCTCACTCTTAGTTACAGGAGTCATTTCTACAGTCTTAAGGGAAGTTACATTAGGAGTAAGTACTTTGCTTATAACCCAAGTGTAGTTTTCTTTCTAGTGCCCTGGAGCAAATATTTAATGAAGCTGTCTCTTTTCCTTTGTGTATAGCAAGACAACTAAAGGTTACTTGAAAAATATTTATGTACTTGAGACAGAAAAAATAATTAACTCTCTTTTGACTTTACTAAAACTCTATCTTTCACTGCCCCAATGTTGTCCAGAGATATGTGGACATTATATCTGAAGAAAGTAAGAGAATTTAGCCGACATCCACTTTGTAGATAAATATGATACAAATGGTTACAGACATGGATATTGGTTTTAAATAGACCTGGGTTTAATCCTCGTGTCTCCACCTACCAGCTGGTTATAAACTTCAGTAGTCTCCTTTTCCTTATCTATAAAATGAGTACAACCATAACTCCCTGCGGGAAAAGAACTAATTTAGGGAGAAGAGATTAGGCCCAAAGTATTTTTCTTCTTTGTGGTTTTATGATAGAAAGTAAAGTTCTGTAAAAATCATAAAATGTTAAAACTGAACAGGAACTGAGAGTTCATATGGTTCAGTGGGCTAATTTTATAAATGAGGAAAATAAGACCAGAAAAAGCCAAGAGGCATCTCCAGACTCATGGTGCTGTTGGCAGGGAAAGGCCGGTGCTTTCTTCCCACTCCATGGAAAACTCATCTTAAAACAAGAATCGTAACTATGTTTTCATCCTTTTTGTTTTATTTTATGGAAAATATTTCAAGAGCAAGTCTTTCTTAGAGATACCATGGAAAAATAATTACTCTGTAAGATTCTTTTCTAATTCCAAGATTTTGTGTCAGAATCAATATCATGGCAATTAAAAAAAAAATAATCCAAATATAAGCAATGTCATAATTATCACTCCATGACATAGTACCGTGTACATTTACTTAATTTGACAAACATAGTTGCAATAACATCTTCTGTTGGGCTTCATTTCTTCAGATTTAAAAAATACCATTTTAGTAAATGTATATTCTATTTTCTAGATGCCCCCTGAAGAAAAGGTTTGTAAATACTGTGGAGTCAGCTATCTAATTCTTCATGAATTTAAAGCTATGGAAGAAAAAGTGAAAGCGATGGAAAAAGAGATGAAATTTTATCAAGGAAGTGTAGAACGTGAAAAGAAACTTCAAGAAAAGCTACATTCTCTTAGCCAAGATTTTGAACAATACAAAATTGACAATGACTCCAAAGCAGAAAGGTTGGAATATGTTATTCTTTTCTGTTATTTATTTAGTTTGAAGAAAAGTACAGACAATAGACTTTTAATGTTCTTCTAGAATTTTTCTGTATCAGGTATAATTTATACTTGAGTACATGTTAATTTTTATTATTAATAATTAATAAATGTAATTATTAATTATAGTTTGAGTATTATTTTAGACATACATTTATTTCAGAATTATTAGAAACCAATTAATTTAGTAGCTGTAAGTTGAGATAGGTTAAGTTTTATTTTTCCCCAGTTATATCTTAATTTTATCATTAGGAAGGTTTGTCTGTCAAAAACTAGGTGAGTTTTGGCAGTTTCTGATGCCTAACCTTTGTTTTAAATGTCCTTGAATCTAAGTCACTGAAATTGGAAAAAAATTAAATAATAGGTTTCTAACACTATCAAATCTAATCCATTTAGTCTATCTCAAGACACTTCAATGAACTTGTACAGACACTTTTAGAGAAGGTTTTTTGCTGGAGTTTTATGGATTTACATTTTTCCCATGGAATGAATATTTCTCCATTTAAAATATCAACAGTTGGTGTTAATAAACCTTGAATTAATTAATTTAATGAATATCATCATGTCTTTACAAAAATAGAAATTTTCTTAAATCTCTTAGGATTAAGTACTTTAATAACATTTTATTACAAATTTTAATAATACATTAAATGTCAATTGAGTCCAATGTTTTGTAGTTCTTTACCAAGGAAATTTTGTTATAATTTTTTAAATTTTAAATCTGAATAATTTTTTAAATTTTAAATCTGAAGTATTTTATACTATTTGAGTGGGCGGGGAAAAAATTTAAAGTATTCAGTTTAAAATTTGGTGGTTTTCTTGCCTGTCAGAGATTCTTTTGTTTGGTGTTTGTTTATGCTTTCTTTTCCTTAATGTGTTGTTTAAGTACATAAACACACAAAATAAAAGATGTATATGGGAGAAAAGGCAAGAAAGTTCCTTTTTATCCTACTGATTGCTTTTTGCTGGAAATAAACCCACTTTTAATGGTTTGGTGCATATTCTCCAGTATGCTTTACCTTTATTATAGATATATTTATTTAGTATACATAATTTATATAAGCCATGTAGTTTTTAAAATGGTTATCATTAGTAAATCAACGAACAACAAATGTTGGCGAGGATGCAGAGAAAAGGGAACCCTTATGCACTGTTGATGGGAATGCCGATTGGTGCAGCCCCTGAAGAAAGCAGTATGGAGTTACCTCAAAAAAATTAAAAATAGAACTGACTTATGGTCCAATGATTTCACTTCTGGGAATTTATCTAAAGAAATCTGAAACACTAATTCGAAAGAATCTATGCACTCCTATGTTCATTGCAGTGTTATTTACAATAGCCAAGATTTGGAAGCAGCCCAAGTGCCCATCAGTAGGTGAGTGGGTAAAAAAGCTGTGGTACATTTACTTAATTGAATACTTCTGAACCAGAAAAATAAGGCAGTCTACCCTTTGTGACAGCATGCATGGAGAAAGACAAGTGCCATATGACTTCACTCATATGTGGACTCTAATGACAAAATAAGCTAACAAGCAAAATAGATACAGACTCATAGATAGAGGGCAGGCTAACAGTTATTAGGGACATAGCAGCTGGGTGAGGAGGGTAGAGGGATTGAACAAAAAAGGAAAAAAAATTGCCCAAGTCTGTTTTGCTCAGTGGCTAGAATGTAGGTCTGTGGACTGAAGGTTCCCAGGTTCAATTCCTGTCAAGGGCACATACCTCAGTTGCAGGCTCCTCCTGGTCAGGGCAAATGCAGGAGGTAACCAATCAATGTTTCTCTCACATCGTTATTTCTCTCTGTCTTCCCCTCTCTATCTCTGGCTCTTTCTAAAAATCAATGGAAAAATATCCTCAGGGGAGAATTAAAAAAAAAAATTCATTGACACAGACAACAGTATGGTGATTACCAGTGGGAAAGGGGGTGGTAGAAAAGGGTATGGGAGTATAAATAGTGATGGAAGGAGACTTGCTTTGAGGTAGTGAACACACAGTACATTGTACAGAGGATGTGTTGTGGAATTGTGCACCTGAAACCTATATAATTTTGTTAACCAATGTGAACCAATATATTCAGTAAATTGCACACAAATGTGTATTGTTTAATCTCCCAAGTATTTTGGAGTTTCCCAGCTTTTTGTTTGATTTCTAGATTAAATTCATTGTGGTTTGAGTACAGACATTATACATTTTTTAATTTTTAAAAATTTGTTAAGATGTGTTTTAGTAAGGCCCAGAATGGGTCTGCCTTGGTGAATGTTCCATGTGAGTGTGAGAAGAATGCATATATATCAAACTCAACTCTAATTGTGGGTTTGTCTATTTCTCTTTGGGTTCTTTAATTTTTGCTTCACAAATTTTGTAGTTCTGTTGTTTGGTGTGAACTCATTTAGGGTTGTTGTGCCTTCCTGGTGGATCGATCCTTTTTTTTTTTTTATCACATAATGCACCTGGTTTTCTCTAGTATTTTTCTTTGTTCTGAAGTCTACTCTATCTGATAACAATACAGCCATTACTGCATATTTAATAAACTATTTACATTGTATTTTTTCCCATTCTTTTATTCTCAACTTAACCTATGTCATTGAATTTGAAGTGAGTCTTGTAGATAGCATATTGTTGAATTACGGGATTTTAAAATCCACTCTGCCAGTCTCTCTTAATTGGTGCATTTAGACCATTCACATTTAAAGTAATTATTATTTATTTTAATATATATTTTTATTGATTTCAGAGAGGAAAGGAGAGGGAGAGAGAGATAGAAACATCAATGATGAGAGAGAATCATTGATCAACTGCTTCCTGCACATCCCTACTGGGGATTGAGCCCGAAACCTGGACATGTGCCTTTGACCGGAATCATACCTGGGATCCTTGGGTCTGCAGGCCATTGCTCTATCCACTAAGGCTAGAGCTAGGTAATTGTTGATATGCTTGGGTTTAAGTATGCCACTTTATTATTTGTGTGTAGTTTGTTTTCTTTGGTTCTCTTCTGTTTCTCTTTTCTTACCTTTATTTTGGTATCTTAAACATTTTTAAGGTTATAGCTTGATTTTTTAATAGTGATTTTTAGTATATTTTTTATAGGTTTCTTTGTAGTTGCAATACAGGTGCATAACAACATAGTCCATGGTTTAATTATGATGTGTCTTAGCATGGATTTCTTTGGGTTTATTCTTTTTGGATAGAATAGGATCTTTCCCAAAGATTGTTGAAACTGTATGTTTATAACTCTTTTCATATTTAGGGAGTTTTCAGCTATTAATTCTTGGAATATCATTTAGAGCTACTTCCTCTCTCTTTTTCTCAGATTCCTAACATATGAATGTTTGCTCTTTTGTTATTATCCCATAGGTCCATGAAACTGTTAATTATTATTTTTTCTGTGTATTTTCTCTCTGTTGTTCAGATTGAGTGCATACTGCTTATCTGTCCTAAAGTTTAGTGATTCTCTCCTCTTTCATTAAACTCTGCTATTGACCCATCCAATGAGGATTTTTGTCCCTCATTTACTGTGTTTTTCAGTTATATCATTTCTTTTCTTTTTATAAATGTAACTTTTTTTTCTTTTTGAGGTTTTCTTTGTTTCAAGAAAATTTTAGTTACTTTTAAAAATAACTTTTGTGATGGCTGCCTTATAATCTTTGATAATTCCAACATCTGACTCATCTCAGTGTAGAGTCTCTTAATCATCTTCTCTCATTAGTTAAGATTTTTTTGGTTCTGGAATGATGATTGATTTTCCATTGAATCCTGTTTATTTTGGAGGTTATCCTATGAGACTTTGGATCCTATTGAATATATATATATTTATATGCATATATATAATGTATATATTTATATACATATATATAATATGTGTATATATACGTATGTATGTATGTATGTGTGTATGTATGTATGTATGTATGTATTTAGCAGGTACTCCCTCTGTTGAGGTATAGCATGATAGCCAGGTGAGTATGTTTTTTTCAGCTTCCTACTGTCCTGCCAACTCTGCCTTGTATCAGACTGCTGGAGTGAAGGGCCATCCCTTGGCCCCATTCGCATTTTGCCAGCCAAAGTAGATCACCAGCTTACACTGCCTGTGTTTCTGCAGGGCTATATAAGATCAGCTCCCTGCTGTTGAGCTTACTGTCACCAGGGAGGCAGGGAATCAGAAGACTGAATCACAATGTTTTGTTGCAGCAGGGTAGGGGCAGAAGCTTGGCTCTTCTCTGTGCCCTGCTGACACCAAGGGATGGGAAAATGCCAACCAGCACTGCCTTCCCTCACTTGATTCTGCCTTGTTGATGCCAGATGCAAGTGGAGGCTCAGCTCTCTGCTAGTCTCACTGGCCCCAGTGATAGGGAAGCAGAGTGTTGACTCCTCTGTCTCTCAGCACCTTATTCTACCTCTTTGATGCAGGGAGGGTTGGAGGCTCTCTATTGAGACCCTTTGACAGGATGTGAGTGGGGAGCTGCATTAGGAGTCCTGGTTTTCACTGCTTCGTTTGGCCTCTTTGCTGCCAGTTGGGTTTGGAGGTTTAGTTCCCCACTGGACCTCACTGACACAAGGAATAGAAGGAAAATGGAGTACTTACTTCTACCGACATACTTTGTTTAGACTCATTGGTGCAGGGTTTGATGGAGGCTCAACTCCCCATTGGCCTAGCTGACACTACTCTGTTTGGGGAGTTGACACATAGCTTGATTCTGAAATAGGAGAATGAAAAATCGGCTTCCAATCACCCTACTGACTCACCAGTTAGGAAGATTGGGGTGCACTACCTGTTTCTGTGGGGTGGGGGGGGGGTATGGTGTAGAAGATCAACTCCTTGCTCAGCTGCAGCCCTGATGAAGCTATGTGTGAAGCTATGAAGTGCGGAAGTACAGTTTATAGTTGATGTTTGGCTGGAGAAGATATTGCAAAGAATGCTTTCTGTTGTTGAGCCATTCTTTTCCTGATAAGTTAAGTAGATCGGA